TGGGCCACACCTGAAGGGTCAGAGGCAGTAGAGGAGGCAGCCCCCAGCGACCGAGTGCCCTCAGCCCGGCCCCCCTCACCACCCCTGTCAAGCTGGGAGCGGGTGTCGCGGTTGATGGAGGAAGATCCTGCCTTCCGTCGTGGCCGCCTTCGCTGGCTCAAGCAGGAGCAGCTGCGGCTGCAGGGACTGCAGAGCTCTGGGGGCCGGGGCGGGGGGCTGCGTAGGGCCCCAGCCCGCTTCGTGCCTCCTCACGACTGCAAGCTGCGCTTTCCCTTCAAGAGCAACCCCCAGCACCGGGAGTCCTGGCCAGGGATGGGGAGTGGGGAGGCCCCAGCCCCACCCCAACCCCCTGAGGAGGTTACTCCCCCTCCAGCCACCCCTGCCCGTAGGCCTCCAAGTCCCCGCAGGTCCCACCGTCCCCGCAGGAACTCCCTGGACGGAGGGGGCCGATCCCGGGGAGGGGGTTCCACACAGCCCGAACCCCAGCACTTCCAGCCCAAAAAGCACAACTATTATCCCCAGCAGCCCCAACCTTACCCAGCCCCACGGCCCCCAGGGCCCCGCTACCCCCCCTACACTACTCCCCCGCGAATGAGGCGGCAGCGCTCAGCCCCTGACCTCAAGGAGAGTGGGGCGGCCGTGTGAGTCCCGCATCCTGGGCAGAGAGGGCCTGGTGGGCCCCTTGCTGGGAGAAGGGAAGACGCTGGGAAGCTGCTTCCCCAGAAGCCCTGGGGCAGAGAGGCCCTGGAGAGGAGAGAGAAGGTCCGAGTAGGTGACAGAAGACCAGGGGTGACTGAGCCGGAGGCTGAGGGAAGGAGGAAGGCACGGAGTTGCCAGGAGCAAACCAAAGTGAAGGAAGAGCGATAGGAAGCTGCCTCGGGGCCACCCCTTGCAGAGGGGGGTCCCACAAACGCTGCTATGGGTGGGGTGGGGGGCTAGGGGGCTGCGTAGCCAGTGTTTGACTTTCTTTGCGAGTGGGGGCAAGGGGAAGAGAACTGAGAGTGAGGTGAGTTCTCCCCGGCCCCTGTCTGTCTGTCTGTCTGTGGTGGGTTTCTGTTTCCAGGGAGGTGTGGCGGGATCGTAAGTCATTCCCCTCCCCTTCCAGGCCTCCTGCTATATTTGGGGGACCTGTCTGTTTTGGCTGGAGTCCCATGAGGATGTGGGACCCTCTAATAAAGGATAGCAAACAGAGGGAGCTTGTGGCTTGTCATTTATTTGGGGGTTTTAATGGAGGTGTAGGTTACATAAGTAAAACACACAGATCTGGAGTGTACATCCCAGTGAATTTTTACATGTGTATGCTCCCATGCAGTCACCACCCACATCAAGATATAAGAATGTTTCCATCTTGTTTGTTGAACTTTCAGTGTCATGTCTCCTCTCTTTGGGGTACATAACCCATTCTCTTTTTTCCTTCTTTGGTTTTTGCTTACCCAGTGTGCACATCTCTGCCCCCAACACCGCCCTCATTATCCTGGACAATGTCGAGGCACTACCAGCCTGTTGATTCCCAACTGGCTGTTGCAACAGATAAGGAAGGACTTGGTGGGGACAGAGGGGTTCTGCTTCGTTCAATCTCCCAACTTGTCTGAAAGGTCTCCCACGTAGTCACAACCTCCCCAGATAGGGAAAGTGTTGGTCAGGCCTACCCTGATAGTTTTCATCCTGGCCATGTTACCTGCCTTTCTGCAAGTGCATTCAGTATTCCCAGTAATAGTTTATTAGTCCTAAGACTTTTCAAGAGAGATAACTGCCTGCTTGTTTTAACGTTCTGGCTGGAAGCAGCAAGCCCATGGCAAAGTCATGTCCTAAAGGTTTTTTAGGTTAGGCTATTCCCCTGCTCTGTCTTCAGCTTGCCAGACTCTGGAATCCCGGCGTTTTCATCCTGTTCTCAGGAAAACACTTCCACCCACTCGAAGCTTTGAGCTGCTGCTCTGCAGCTTCCTGAGGCCAGTCTTGTGGTGCAAGCAGCCAAAACCACAGATATCCCAGCTTCAGCCAAACCACGGTGTGGCAAGGATATGTTTAGGTTTACCCTTAGTTTCCGCACCCCGAGGCTGTCTACCTTTATTTTGACGCCTTTGACTGCCAGGTCTTTAGGGACCTGTAGTTGGTGACCTAAGATCTGGATTGTAATGGATAGTTTGGTGACAGTGTTTACTTGAGCAGTTTATAATCTGGTTGGGGAAACTAAATGTGAGGAAGAAAATGATAGAATACAAGGTTCCCTGCAGGTCAGAGCGAGCAAAGTGGTACAACATGCTGTGGGAGTCACGGTAGGAAAACTAGCCTGCTTGTTTAAAATGCAGTTGGATTCTTTTCCCCTGAAGACTCTGCTTTATATAAATATGTATTATCTGCCATTTAAAAAGTCTACTTCTCCAACCTTCCAAGTCAACCTTTAATGTTGTGGACAAACTTTGTTTAGATTTTTTTCAGTAAGTGCCCAATAACTTATTTGTGCTATGTGTGCCAGCATGTAGCGTTTCATTTAGTCCTTAATATAACCCTATAAAGTAGGTCTTTTGTCTCCACTTTTCCAATGGGAAGACAGAGGTTTGAGTATATTAATGAGTTGCCCAAATTCATACAGTTCTTAAGGGGCAAAGTTAGGATTTCAACCAGACTAAAGCCCAGACTCCATCTCACACCTCTAAGTCATCAGATGTCACCCTCCCTTCTAGAAACCATGTTGCCTTCTCAAATTAGGTCTTCTAAAGTATTTTATGAGCCTACCTCTAGTTGCTGGTCTCTCTCAAGCTGCCCTGGGAAGAAGTGAGAGCCAGTATTTTGTGGGGCTCCCCTGGTGTCATGAGAAGTCACCAAAATAATCTGCCAGTTGCCTGGTTCACTCAATTTTGACATTTCTACAATTTCACCCTGGTTTCCTTGGAAATTCAGTTTTCTTTATCTCTCTCTTCAGAGACTTCTTTTGTTAGTTGTTTAGACTTTTTGTTCCGTCGCTTGGGATTTTTGTATCTTGAATACATTTGGGGATCTCAATACTTTTTTTCCCCCAAGTCTTCTTTGTACATTTCTATATTCATAGCTTCTAATTTTGATTTGAAATTGTTCTTTTCCCTTTCAAAGATTGTCAGCAGCCACCTGATGCTATTTTGGTTTGGGTGGACCATGGGTAGGTTCTACTTACAGTCCCCAAAGACCCACCACTCCTGACGTGTCACAAACTCTGCTTGCACTATCATCCTATTCCTTCACACAAAGTCTTTGTGGTTTTTTTGTTTAATTTTTTATTAGCATATTCTTTATTACAAATCATACTTATTCTTTATGCCCCTTATCCAACCTCTCCCCTTTTCTTTCCTCCTCCCCTTCTAATAACCATAGGTTAGTTCTCTCTATCTGATAGATTAACTATTCTTCTGTTGATTTGTTGCCTAGATGATCTGTCCAGTACTGAGATAGGTGTGATCAAGTCCTCCCCTATTATCATAAACCAGATGCTTCTATTCCTCTGGAGTGGGCTTTGAGGAGAGATAGGACCTCTTGTCTTTTTTTTTTTTGGTCTCTGCTGGTGCCTCTGTTTGTGTCAGTGCAGTTGAGAGTCTGGCATGCCATCTGCACAGTTGCCGTGACTGCTGCCATAGAGACTAGCTGCTATTGTGGCAGTCATGGCAAATGCAGTGACTATGGTGGGCAACCTGCGTGGAAATGGTGTTTTTGGTGTGCTCTTTACCTGGCTGGGGATGGGTTCGGCTTCGCCCACTCCATACCTTAGGACCCCAGTGGGCTCTGGGATGGTGGCCCACATGAAGTCTTTGGAACCCTAGGTGTCACTGGGGTCCTGTACCAGTAGAATTTTAGGGAATGCTACCCAAAGCAGGCTGGTTTGAAGTAGATTCTACTTAACCTAATTTGGATCACAGGCTCTCTATCACTGGTACGCTGTGCTGCCTCATTAACATCTCTGGCTACACAGTTGTTCACCTCTCCAGGGCCAGAGGCCTCTGCCTTGTTATACAAGTTCTCCCTCCTACTACCCACTTCTGCCTCTCCTGAAGGGAAAGAGGAGACTGTGGCATCATCTGGATAGTGCGTCTCATCTAAAGGTCTGGTCTCCACATGTGAGTTGTAGAAACTGCTTTTCTCATCCCTAAACAATTCCACAGCTGTAGGAGCTGACATTAACCTGCAACATCCCTGACAGCCTCATCAATGAGGATTTCCACTTCAGTTCCTCCAGTCCCCCCCACCCCCATCTCCAGTCCCCGGAGGAGGAATATGTTTTCAGATACCTGGGAAAGTCTTGCCTTGAGCTTCTATAACTCCTAGACTGTAGCTGGGTCCTTGCCTGATATGCAGACGTGTAGCCTGGCCTGAAAAGTTCTTGTGCCTAACAAGCTATAATGTTATGAGGCGACCCTGATTGTAGCTACAGTGACCCTCCTCTACGACCCATTAAAACTTCTTTACAAATCACCGTGGAAACTGTTCTGGGTGTTCTTGCAGAGCCTTCTTAGCTGCAGAGAAGCAGCTCTTCTTTCTTCACGTTCAAGGCACCATCCCCAACAGTTCAGGCCATAATCAGAACCTTTGGAGTATGCAGACCTGGGTCCAAGCCTCCTCACCAATTAGCTGTGTTACTCTGGTTAAGTCACCTTTTCTGGGACTCAGTTTTCTTTTTTGTGAAATAGGACTAATATGAACTCAATGAAGCTGTTTGGAAGGTTTAATGAGATAACTCACGTAAAGGGCTTAGAAACATATCAGGAGCTCCATGTGGGTGCCTTCCCATTTTCCTTGCTCTGGACTGGGAATGGAGCCTTGGGAAAGAAGGGACGTACCTCAAAAAGAGGTCAGGTCCCAGAAGATATTAAAGCTCATCTCCAGCTGAACCCTCCTCTAATGTCCTGCATCCCCTACTCCCAACCCGGAAACTTCTTCCCAAGCCTTTGGTTGTTGTCCCATTATTGTCCGCCAGGGGGAGAAAAAGCGCGGAGTCGCTCGAAGGTCTCCTTTGTTTGCGCGTTCACAGAGCCTTAGGAGAAGAGAGCGTGGCTATGCGCGCCCCCGCGTCCGTGCGCGCCCGTGCGCGAGTCTCCCGAGACGGGGCGAAGGGCGCAGGCGCAGAAGGCCGGGTGGGGCGCGGCAGCAGCCCCGGGTTTTGTGTTCTCCGCGCGGCTGGAGCTGGGGTGGGGAATGAGGCTGGGGGACCGGGCGCGGGCTGGGGAGCAGAGGAAGGCGACGTCGGGGCTGGGCCGGGGCCCTGCCAGCATTTCTTCTTCCTCTGGCACTAGCTCGCATCTTCGTTTTCCGGAAGGGAGGGGTCATTAAGCAACTTCTTTTTTTTAAAGATGACCGGTAAGGGGATATTAACCCTTGACTTGGTGTTATCAGCACCACGCTCAGCCAGTGAGCGAACCGGCCATCCCTATATGGGATCCGAACCCGGGGCCTTGGTGTTATCAGCACCGCACTCTCCCGAGTGAGCCACGGGCCGGCCCAAGCAACTTCTAATGTAGGAACTTTGCAGGGCAAGTGACCAACCAGAGGGGAGACGATGCCCCTTTACAAGAGGAGGTTTCGGATTGGGGTTTGCTTTGTTTGATATTGAACAAATGCAGAAAAGGAGGAGTAAAATTGAAGCAATTCATATTTCCATCACCCCAAAATACCTTTCCATTGCTGTTCCTCCTGAAAATGGATCCTAAAATATTTGTCCCACAAGTACTTATTGGACACCTACCTAGATACTAAGCACTTAGCACTGTTGGGGTGTGAGGGACTACAGAAGGAAAAGAGTGATGATCAGGAAACAGGATTTTTAGAAATCTGTGTGAATGAGTGCAGGTTAGAGTGTCTTTAAGGGACAGTCCCAGAGCAAATGCCAGGGAATCACTTTACTGAGAAAGATTTTAGACAAGAAAACAGAAAAGCTGTGAATATGATAAGAAAAGAATTACAATTTGTGTTTCAGTCTAATTGCACGTTAGAGAATATATATATGAAAAATTATTTAACCTAATTCTCCGATTTCATTGATTTTTTTCTCGTAAGGTTTTCATTAGATTTAAAAAGAAAACCAAAGGGCCAAGGGCCAAGCCCACAGCCTCAACCGGTTCCTGGCTTCAAGCCTGCTCTTTGGTCCCCAACCTGGCCTGAAGTGTCAAGGTCTCCTGTGGAGTGTGCAGGTGTCCATGAGTGTGCCTATGTCGGGGAGGCCTCCCTGTAGTGCTGTGGCAGCCTCAAGGTGAAGACAGGTGGGGCAGAGTGAGGTTCCCCACCTGCCCAGGCTCAGTGTCCACATGGGTCCACACCATCGTTTCTGCTGCAGAACATGTGGGAGGGACCATAGCAATGGTACCCAGCAGGGAGCCCAGATGGATAGCCTTGCCAGCCGCCAGCAATGTCAGCCATCTCCTGCCATGCAGCAGGGAACTGGCCACCACCTTCGTGTATGAAGAATACGCCCAGACACAGACCCAAAACAGCACCTGAGCAGGGGGACATAGCAGCAGGCTGAGCATGAGATGCTCCTGCTCCAGGGTAACACCACCCTCCCTGCTTCATGTCCCCACTGTGCTCACCACAAGGACCATCCCTGCAGAGGTGCCCACCAGGGGCAGGTATGGACTCAGGATTGTCAGTGCCATCATTAGGTCCCAAAGAGCATGCCCTACAGAGAGAGACTGACCAGCCCTGCCAGGTACTTGCTGGGAGTAAGTGGAGACTCAGAGCTGCTACGACAGGACCCAGTCCCCATCCCTAAGTTCCACCTACCAAGGGGCTTAGGGCCCCATGTGCACCTGCACAGCACCCCTGTGGCCAGGAAGCAGGCAACGGGATTGGTGGTGCTGCCTAGCACCATGGCCAGGTGGTAGGCCAGGCGCCCATAAGGCAAGCAGGAAAAACTGTACATCAGGCAGCACACCATTGGTCAGAATGTTGGTGACCACCAGAAGGCACAGCAGGCAGGTGCCATGGGCTGAGAGTAGCCAGTGGGGCTCAGGGCCAGGGGTGGTGCCTGCTGCCTGGCTTGGTGACTTCTGCAAAGGTGAACCCTCTTCCTCTTCCTCCTCCTTCCCCGCTCATGGGGCTCCTACCCACAGGCCAGGCTCCGGGCCTGCTGTGGGTACCAATGGTGGTGGCAGCAACAGCAGCAGGAGACCCTGGAAGGCTGCAACCAAAGTGACCAGAAAGGTGGTCATTGCCCAGAAGAAGGTGATGGTGGGAAAACGCCCAGTGAAGTGGGGGGAGAGGGCACAGGGGTGCTGTTGGTGGGGGCTGGTGGCCATTCGAGGTGGCCCACACCCTGCACTAGGGCCAGCACACAGGGTGCTGAGAACCTGGCCCAGGAAGAAAGACCGTAAGAAGGGAGGTGGCAGGTGGCTCAGGAAGGGCAGGAAAGGGACATTAGAAGTGCAGCAGACCAGCACCAGCACCAAGGCCAGTGTTAGGAAGGCCATAGAGTGGAGCTGCCCTGCTGCTGGGCCCACATGGTGCCACAGAGGGGTCAGCAGGGCATTACCCACCATGTTCAGCACCTGCACCACCTGGATGGGGACCTGTTTGCCTCTGCCTGCGGCCACCACCTCCACAGGGTCACCCTGTTCTCAGGTTCCCCAGCATCACAAACAGAAGAGAGGCTCTCTTGAGGAGAGGCTCCAGCTTGCAGGGAAGGAGAGGCCATGTCAGGACACCAGGGAATGGTTGCAACAGGGACTGTATGGCCCTCAAAGCCTAAAATATTTTTTATCTGGCCATTTACTGAATTTGCTGGTCTATCTTCCTCACTAGGATGTAAATTCGCTGAGATGAGATACCTTGTCTATTTCACTACCGACCCTATTCTCAGTGATCACTACACCACAGAGTAGCTGCTCAAATAATTGTCGAATGAATGAACCAATAAAACCCCGAAATCTGTGTTTTAAAAAAACACAAACTCCCTAGATGATTTTGATGTGCAACAAGGCTTGACCTCACTGCTGAGGGGAAAGGCTAAACCAAACTGAAGTGGGGTCAAATTTAGGTCCCCACAGTAATACCAAGCAATGGTGTTTTAGTACTTGGAGATTAGGATTAAAAAGACACTATCCAACACTTTTTTTGTGTGCTAATTGTATGGCAGGCACTGTTCTAAATATTTAAAAAATATTAATAAACTTAATCCTCCTAACTGCCCAATGGAGTGGCTATTCTTATTATAATTATTCTATATACACATGAGGAAACTGAGGCATGTAAAGATGAAGCCACTTGCCCAAGCTTCTGCAGATAGTAAGCAGAGCCAGGACTTGAGTCTTGGTGATGGTCTGACTCCAGGTCCTGTGCCCTTAACTTAGGATATCACTTTGCTCCTAGGCCAGAGGTTCCTGCTACCGCCTGTTTGTGAATCACTTATTGACAATTTATAGATAAAGTTGCCTATGTGTTAGGGAGCTTGTAGAGTAAGGAAAGAAAAATAATAGGGGCTGGCCAGTTAGCTCAGTTGGTTAGAGTGCGATGTTGTAACACCAAGGTCAAGGGTTCGGATCCCCATACCGGCCAGCTGCCAAAAAAAACCAAGAAAATTAATAAAGTGCAGGTGCTTCTCTTAGAATAAGTCTGAGACAAACGAGACCACTGTGTCTTTAGAAGTGGAGCCCTGGCTGGAGAGAGGCAGACTGTAAGAGAGGCAGCACCCACAGGAAGGGACTCAAGGGGTGGGCTGCGAACAGTTATTGTTAGACGTGTGCCTGGGGTGGGTGTGATTTGAGGAAATTATAAAAGTGTCTTGTGTGTGGGTCCCACTGAGGTATGGAAACTTAAAGTAGGAAGCAGAAGAACCTTACATAATGAAAAACATCTCTGGGCACTGCTGTGTCCTGAGATCAGATCTGTTCCTTTGTGGGGTGAGAGGGCTGACAGAAATGGGAAGAGATGTCATTTGTAGGTTTCAGTGCAAAGTTCCTCAAACCATGGGCTTCACCCTGAATTTTCACAAAAATCCCCAAGGTTGGGGATCAGGGGACGGGGAATAATCAAGGGGACCAAAGGTTGGTCTAACTTGCCAAGGTGTAGAGCCTTCTCAGCTGGAGGACCCCTGTGATTCTTGGGGGACTGGCTCCCTGGGGTACTTACTCCACAGTGGCTAACCAGTCCTAAGCTATGACTTGCCAGCTCAGTCCACCCTAACCCTACGGCACCCTGTGCCCCGGGGAATGGGGCATGCTGGGGGAATAGTACTTCTCAGATAGGGAGGGGGTGAGTTTGGGGGGCCTAAGGCTGTCCTGGTTCAGCAGCCAAGAACACGATGGCTCCTCCTGGTCACTCGTCCTATCCAGTGCAGATGCGTGGGTGGTGAAAGAACGACAGGACCCGAGCTGACAGTTCACCGGAGAAGTTCCGCTTTATTTGAGGGTGAAGCATACATTTATTGAGAGCTGAGTTCCGGGAGAGGGTGGTTAGTACGTGGGGCGCTGGCTGATTGGTCGGAAGGGCGGGTGATGATTTTGATAGGCCATACTTTGGCGCCGGCGGGAATGTTAGGACCCGGAAGAGAAGCCGGAAAGGCGCCATGTTTTAGGGAATGTCTCCTTTGGGGTTTTATGGGGCCCTACAGGTGGGGCAGTGCTAAGGATTTTCCAAGTCTCCAACCCTCGATTTTTCACTTCCCCTAATTTTCTTACCTGTTAGCCAGAAAGTACCTGGAATCCTAGACAATTGCTAGGGTTTCTATTTTTTTTTTTTTTTTATAAAAAGATGACCAGTAAGGGGATCTTCACCCTTGTCTTGGTGTTGTCAGCACCACGCTCTCCCAAGTGAGCCACAGACTGGCCCTTAGGGTTTCTATTTTGAAGACCTCACAGCAGCATTTAATGTTCTTATGTTGGGGGTGGGTAGGGCAGGGTTGTTACAGACAAACCAGGCTCGGCTTGCCCTCTCTCATTAAACAAACAACTCAAAAGCCCAGAAGTTGGTGCAAGGATTGGAAAGTTTATTCAGATAACCAGCATCTGGGGGATAACCAGGCTAAAATCATGCAAATTTCTGATGCTCGTTCTGGGATTTATAAAGGGGAAGAGGCGGGAAGATGAGGTAAGAGTCTTTGTTCTGAAAAAAAAGGGGGAGTCTGGGAGCAGCAGATGGTCTAAGTCAAATGTCAGGATCCCATGATGGATTGGGAACTTCAACATCACAGAGTCTGTGGTCAGCTTCAAGTCCTTGATGTTACCTCGGGGTCAGAGTCCTTATCTCCTAGGGAGAGCTCAAAGATAATAACCTCAGTCAAACATCTTAAAAATACCTGACTTGGATTTCTAATTAACATGGATGCAGTTTTCCTTTAAGTTAAGAGGGGGAGCTTACAACCAGCTAGGTTGTCTTGTCTCTCTCTTATATCTCCTCTTGTTTGCAGCTGATTAGAGAGGTAAGAAAAACAAGAAATTTAACTTCAGTCCTTAATTGTAGGTGCACAACCTCTGAAGTAAATCAGCATAAGAGGGGTGATTTCACCTCTGGGCAGTCTCTCAATTCCTCTGCTAACCTCAAGAGACTGATGATTATCAGTTCCCAAATTAAGGGCTGACTGAAACGTTCTGCTCGGTCTTAGTTACCCCAAAGATGGTTGTTTTTCTGTCTAAGGTCCCTTTCAGGGGGATACAAGGTCCTCACAGCCTTGTGGGGAACTGGGCTGGCCTTGGAGTAGGCACTTGAAGTCCCTTACTTCATGGGCTGTTGCATATGGGATAAACTCTTCTTACGGACTTTGGTGACTTATCCCATGTCTGTGTAGCAGAAGGTCATCACAGATGAATTTTGTGTCTTCCAGCATCTGCCTTCTGCTTGGCAGCAGCCCCCCACCGTCTCTGCTATCTCAGGGTCACCTGGCCTCGGATCTCAGAGAAGGTGATAAGCTCCATCAGCCTGAATCCTTATCTTACTCCTCCTTCAACCTGGCTCCTCCCGGGTCTGGGATGCCTCCCTTTGGGTGATTGTGAAGGGCCACAGTTCTTACTCCTCTAGTGTTATGGTCTCCAGTCTAGGGCCTGATTTTGACAACTCACCTTGGGAGAGAACAAATCCAGCCAAACAGTATAACTTAAACCTTTAAGATGGATTTGGCATCACCCTGTCTCCCCCTCAAATAGATACTTCTGTGGGGCAAACTTTTTAGAAAACAAGCCCATAGATGAGGTTTGGTACTTTCCCATTAGAAACTTAGAAATATTTGGAACTTAAGTCTCAGATAGGCCCTGAGCAGCAGCACTGGCTTGGAAGGGCTGGAAGGAACTTTAGAGAACATTTAATCCATTATCTCATTTTATTTACTTGTAAAAATATTTATGAAGGGTCCACTGCATAGGAAGCATTTTGCTATGTGTTTTGGATGACACAAAGGCATGTTGAATATATATATAAGATCCCACAGGGTCTGGTCCTGTCCTTCCTCTCCTGCCCCCTTTCTGGCGCTCTCTGCCTCCCACCGTATCGCTTATGGTTCTTTGAAGACACCATGCCTTTTCTGCCCTTTGTGCCTTTCCTCTTTGTGGAAGGTCCTCCACTCCTCGCAGCCTCATTCCGCTGGACACTTCTACTCACGAGTCTCAGCTTAGCTGCTGTAGTTTCAAGAAACCTTAATTACCTCAGTCTGGGTTAAGTACCCTTTTGTTTTCAAGCTTACCCTATCAGTAAGTTTACCATATGATAATACAATTGTAAATTTTGTGTTTCTCTTCTCCCCTTGACTCTGGACTCCTTGAGGTTAGGGACTGAGTCTTATTTGCCCTTTGAATCAGACCCAGATTTTCCTCTAATGGAGATTGCAGTTTAGCAGGAGAAAGAAGCCACCATGAGGCTTGTAAAATGATTATATCAAGGTGGGTATGATAATGCCAGAAGAGTTGTATCAATGAGACAACTGAGGCTGTGACTTGCCTAACGTCACTCTTGGCTTCTTGCAACTGGCCAGAGCCCAAAGTCCACCTCCAGCTGAAGAAATAGTCTGGGAAGGAGTCTGAAACCAAGCCAGACTTCAGCTTCAGAGCTAAAGATCTCAAGCATCAGGGAGGTTGAGACTAAGATTAGGAGCCTAAGTCATAAACAGGAGAATGTTCTGGTGACAAGACAGTGAAGAATAGTGGAAGGGGTCCGAGACTGGGCACCAGGAGACCTGGGTCTTGGTTCATGCTTCGCTCCATCTGACCTCTTGCCTTAGCATCCACTTCAGTCTATAATGAGAACCCATTAAATTTCCCTCTTCTTGAAAGCAAAGATCATATTTTGTTTGTGTAGCTTCCTCTCTTATTACCTATCTTATGGTAGATGCTAAAATTATTGACTGAAAGAACGACTCCCTTTTATCAGTAACATGCAGTGGCCAAAGGCATGGACTCTGAGCCACTCACTAGCTGTGTGGCTTTGGGCAAGTTACTTGAGCTTGCTGTGCCAAAGTTTCCTCACATGTAAATGGGAATAATAGTACCTATATCAGAAGGTTGCATTGAGCAGTCAGTGAGCACTCGGCCCCGAGCCTGGCACACTGTAAGTGCTGTAAGCATGAGCTTCTAGTCCATTCCTCCTTCCAAATGTGTCATAGCAGGAAATGCTATGTTCATTATTGAAA